GGGGGGGACACCTGCAAATCTGCAATAGGGGAGAGAGGTTGTGATTTTTTCTGTTCATCTCCATTGTTCCGTGCAGCATGCTGTTATTGAATATGAACAAAATACCATGACGTCCCTCAGGATGGCAAAGGCCATATTCCAGTTTTCCATGTGCATTTCTTATACATTTCTTGGCAACAAGTTATTTGATCCACTCAATCTGCAAAAGGTTTATGCTTAGAGGTATTGCATTGCATCTAGATGCTTATAACAGAAAATAATAGAGAATGTTTCATTGCCCCTGTTTAGTCCATGTTCAAACTTTCAAATGCCAAGAATGCCCTTAATCTTTTGCTTTTAGTTCCACTATTAGATAAAGGAGAAAGGTTCAATACCTCTTTCACCAGCTCTTAGACTTTTGATTTGCACCTTTAACCCTTGTCCCCCTTCCCTCTTATTCTCCAATCTACCTATTTAAAGTTATATTGTCAAACCCAGCTCTCTATCTCTCTCTCTCTAACAGATTTTCCATGTGGCCAGTATGTCTTAATTAAAAGTTATTAGAAATGTGCTAGTTGCAATTTTCTCATCCAGTTACAAATCTTTACTGTAGGATAGGAGTTTGTCCTTTTGCTCAAGTTTCCACTAATTTGAAGTTTAGAAGCTATCTGGATGGGAAATTGGCATCTCTCACAGAACCATAGGTTTAAAGAAGTTGGATCCCTTCTAGAAATTTGACAAATATGAATCTGTAATATTAAGGTGTCAACTTTGGTTGGAAATTATTTAACAAATCTGGAATTCTGGATAACAATACAATGGAGGTTGTTGAGGTTTTTGCATCTTAATTAAGTTTGATGCTCCACATGGCCATGTTTAAATATCACTGTCAATAGATGCACTCAAGGTAAAAAGATGAATTATATATTGTGATGTCCCCTCACAAGCGTAGTTCGAGAATGTTTGTACCCAGGACATATGTAAAATAACTGTTATTGTTAAGGGCTTAATGCATTCTGTTTCTGCTTTTTTGCTTTATATGCTTTCAGATTTCATTTTTGCTTATATTGCTTATGAGGAATCCCAGAAGCTAAGAAGTCATGATCAATACAATGGATGGAGTTCAGCATCATTTACATTATGGGTATGATATGTATTTCCTCCTTGCCTTAGAGGGTGTTTGACTACAATCTGGAGTCATGGCTATCTGTTGGTTGGCTTACAACGGTGGGGTTGTCAAACACCAGAAACACACATAAAACACCAATGTACTAGTTCATCACTTGATAAATCTGTGGTTGATAGAAAATAAACATGGGTTGTTAATAACAACAACCAAAGGGGGACAAGATTGAGGATGATATCAACTGTCTGATCCATCAATTTGATATAAATTGTTGATTCGATTTGATCAATTCATCTATTTGAGCTGCAACTATGATCCCGCGCATTGGAAAGTTTTTGGTCAGGCAAAAGTTATTTCTTATCTCTACTGAGTAGATATTAATAGTCATGAGTAATGATGCTGACCCAGATGATGGTGAATTGATGGAGCATGTCCAACCATTGCACATGCAAGCTTCCCAATTAATGACCGTCAACCGTTGCATGGCGTACCCAAACCATACCCACACAAAACAAAACAAAAGAGGTCCCCCAGCCCACGTTTCCTGGCTCTTACTCTTTCTTTCATCATCGCCACAAGACGTCAAGACCCACTCTCCGCCTTTACCTCCTCGTGATTCCATTGATTTGAGTTTTTCCGAAGTCTCCTTTGAGTCAAAAAAATACAGACTATGACTATAACTCAACAGCAAAAACAAGTAAACAACTGGGAGATCTGACAGCAATACCGAGTCGATTTTGAGGAAACTTTTCCTTTTTATCTTTAAGAGCCATGAGCTTATATGGATCATAACTCGTTTTCTTTCACAGTTATTAGCAATTTTACCAGGTTTTCATCTTCAAATCTAGAATACCCAGGATGCAGAATTGTTGGGGTCCCTCGATTCAAAGGGCGCCCACGACGAGATCTACTAGACTAGATCATGTTATGCCAAACTGTGCCTTTCTTTGGGATGTCTGAGTCCAAGACAAATTGGTGAAAAAACCCAGACGAGAATTTGGCAGCAAAACGAATTCTGCAATTGGAAGCAGTGGATGGGAGCCTGTGCCTTTCTTTGGGATGTCTGAGTCCAAGACAAATTGGTGAAAAAAAACCAGATGAGAATTTGGCAGCATAATGAATTATGCAATTGTAAGCAGTGGATGGGAGCATGACCCACATGCCATAACCCATTATTCGACGGAACCCACCTATAACTGATGCCGGACCCATCACCAGCTCTTCCGACCGTCGACTGTAATTTTCATAGCCCTTTTTCAGAGGAGGTGATAAATCAGATATTAGGTCCTGTTAGAGGGGATGTTAGAATTTGGAAATCTCAAATCTGTTAAGAGTAGAGCCCATCAACATATATCCCCGACATACAGGATACATACACCAGACAGTGCAAATGTGAGTAATGAAGACTCCCAATCACCCCTCTCCTTTGGCTTGGTCTTCCGATTTCTTGGCTATTTCTTTTCTGTTGTAGAGAGAAAAATGGTCAAGATTCCTTGCCTACCCATCCAATTGTGTTCTGACAGTTGGCACATTTACTTTCAATAACCCAGCAATCTCCACCCTCTCTCACAGATCTCTAGTGCTTGTAATAGAAATCATCATTTCTTCTTCTTCTTCTTCTTATTTTTTGAATTGTTCATATGAAGTTGAGTTGGATCAACTATATATTCATTGAAAATAGAACTCTCTTCCACCATCAACAACTGGAGTCCCAAAAAGATAGTTTTTCTTTTACTGAGAAACCAATTTGAGAATAACCACTGCAAATGAGGAATCTCCATTTACAGTATTGTTGGATCAATAAAGGATGGACAATTATTATTATTATTTTTTCTCATAAAAGTTTGATAGAAGAAGCATTCATGAAATATGAAGAGAGAGAGAGAGAGAGAGAGAGAAAAAAGAGACAAACACAATTTTTTTTCTCATGTTTATGGATCTCCCTGACAAGCAAGCGAAAGGAGAATGAGAAAAGTAGATTAGAAAAGAAAGCAGGGAAGAGAAGTTTGAGATCAAATTGTACAATTGGGACAAGACCTCTATTTTTCTCTGCAGAAAAATCATGACCCATTAATGCTCTCCTCACCAATTCCATTATAGGTTTTACAAAACTAAATCTTTTCAAGCAGAGGAACCTGAAACTTTCGGAGATGTAACCGGAAAGAGCGGCAAAAGTTGGGGCGTTGAGTCTCTCGGGGTCGTAATAGGCGATGGATGCAAATAAAATCCCTTCTCTGCAATCGCTTTCTCTTCTTCTGAAGAAGTGCTGATAGAATTACCGGCACAAGGAGTAGGAGACCTGTTAAATGGGTCTGGGATCAACGGCGTAACCGGGCTGAGGACAAGCGAAGGAAAATCAAGCATACTGGGTGACAAGATCTCTGGCTTCCGCGGCGAGAACCCAGAATTCTGGACCAAGCCAGGCATCAAAGGACTGATCTTGAGATTCTTGAGACTGTTCCTCCTCTCGTAAAGCTTAAACCCTTGTTTCTTGGGGCCGGTCTTGATGGGTGGTATGGCGCTCTTGGAGGAAGGATCGACGGTGGCCTTGGACGCTTGCTTGACTGTCTCCGATGACCCAGTGAGCATCTGGACTACTTGTTTGAAGGAAGAGGTGTCTGCTTGGATGAAGGTTGTTGGGTATGCATTGGTTTCAGATCTGGCTATGGGCTTTGGCGTCGAAGGGAGCTGAACTCCATTGCTGTTGCTGCTGCTACTGCTGCTACTGTTGCTGCTATTGCTGTTTGGGGAGGTTAGGGCAGATGGGTTCTCTCGCTCTTGAGGTTTTGGAGAGTTTTCCATTGATGGGTTTTCTTCTTTCTCCTACACACTTTGGTGGATGGATAGACCTTTTGGTTTTGGGCAGAGAGGAAGAAAGGGAGGGAGAGAGATGTGTGAAGAACAAGGTTTGATGGGGGATGATGAGACTACTTTATTTTGTGTTCCCTCTATCTCTTTCTCTCGTCTCTCCTTCTTCCCTCCATCTCTTCTCTCTCTCTCCTTTGTTGCTTTGGTGATGAGAATGGTTTTTGTATTGATGTGGGAGGTTTTTTGATTGGGTGTTTGAGAAAATGCCCAACGGTTTCAAGGGAAAATACGATAAGACGCCATTGGCTGGTCTTGGAATTTCATTGGTGGGGCTGCTGTGTGTGGAGGTCGTCAAAGGCTTCAATATTTCCATTGACTTCAGAGCCCTGACGCTGACTCTTCTGTTGGGGGTTGCACCCCCTACTCGCCCGACCCCCTTTCTCTTTATTACGAGACCGGATCTGCTCCTCACAAGCGCTTCACACACGCATCCTATCATACATTAGGAACATCTTCGGTACTTATTTATTATTATTTATGGAAAATATTTTCAATGCACGGTGTATGTACATGTGAGGCGTCCATTTGTGAGGAGCAGATTCTGTTACATGTTCATCAAAAAAAAAAAAACCCTTTATTACATTGATCCCAACAGTTCACCATTTTTTATGACCTCCTAATTACCATTTTTTTTCCATCATCAAGGGTGGGTTAAAATTTTGCCAGATGGAGGGTTTTGATTGATGTCATGAGGAATTTCATCCTCAACTGTACACGTGGTGGACTCCCAAGGAATTTGATTTGACGGGTCAATTTGATATATCATGATCCTTTGCCCAATCAGAAGATACATGGAGTATAGGGTCCAGGAAGATGTGAACTCTTATCTTGTAAAGAGTACCCTAATTTTCACATGAGATATGAGATAGAGAGGTTTTTGGATTTGTGCTTAGATTTCAATAATGTTGTAAACTGAAATATTGGAAAATGGGGGAAAGAGAGAAGTGAATGGAAAGGAAAGAGAAGAGAAAGGGAGGGGTGAAGGTGAAGGGGATTAGGGGACCACATGTCCTATTCCAAATTACTACATGAAGAGGCCTCTCATCTACGGTCACAAAATCAAGGCCATTCTGGTGTGGAGTTCCTAACTAACTTCATGCATGCCAAATTAATGGTGTAACAAGATTAGTTCACACAATTTGATCAAGTCATGAGCAGAACAAATCGCCGCCGATGATCAGTTGATCGAAAACGGTCATTACCCAATGTTGGTCCCAGCCATCTGGAGTCTAAAAACTGCAAAATGTGCTTAGACTAATGAACTACATCAATTGTAATTAACAACATGAATTGGGTTCATGAGATTAATTAACAAATTCCAACTGGTCAATTGCCTTATAAAACTAAGAGGGATTAACAGGCTTGACTTTTGGATTAGTAAAATAAACACAAAAGTTGCATCAAGAAATATTTAGTTGGAATGTGGCATTTTGGTAGATAAGAACTGGGTGAATGGCATTCTTTAAACAATGTATGTATGTTGAGTAGGGAAACCTTGAAGGGTCCGCTTCAGTTGAAAATCTCACCGTCAGAGGCGGTCAATGATGTTTGGGTAGTTGTTTACATCACGGGACCGGCCACTAAAATCCAACTTGTAAGTTTTGACAACCCAGTCATCAAAAACATCTTAATTTCCTTCTCTGCATTTATTCTGAAAGTTGAGCAAAATCAAGTTACACAGTTTTTTTAAGTTGATACAAGATTAGGGAGGAGGAATTGTCTTAGCCACATGATGATGTTGAGTCCTGATTAAGCCAAAAAGCCTATGATTTTGATGCATGATTGCTCAATTTTGGATGGTCAAGATTGGCAGGGGAGACTTTGGTAATTAATCTTGTTATTAGCTTTAAGGAAAAGGCATCCATAAGATAATTGCTTGTGATAATGATGGTCATAGCTTCTATGGACCAAAGCCCACAAGATAATAATGTAGAAAGGATCCTGGTTGGTACATGTTTTGGTTGGATACGGGCATTTAAGTGAGAAAGGAAATAGGGGCTTGACTTTGTGTCCTTGGTTGCTTGTAGATGGGGTGAGGGAGACCCACAATTTTGTGTTCCTTTCTTCTTTTATTTCTAATAAAGTAATCAACAACTAAAGACTTGCAGTCTTTCAGTCTTGCAGTGGAGAGAGAAAGAGAGAAACTTTATTGGATCTCTACCAGCAGTCAGTGTCAAGTGGAGCCTCTTTTACACCCCATGAAAGTTTTGAGTCATAGCACTAGTCCATGATCAGTGAACTGTCAAAAGTGTATGTCAGGGATGCTTTCTTTGCATCTCAGTGCTTTATAAACAATCAAACAACAACAACAAAAGCTAAAGTTTCAGGATATCTAACTCAAGTTTCAGTTAGATTGCTTTTAACTCGCCTATCTCAACTCAGTTTTAACTCAATCACTCGGCTAAGTTTCAAATATCATTAGTTTTCTTTTCTTGGGGGAAGCTGATGAGAAAAGTCTCAATTGCAATCCCTTTCTAGGGAATTCCCCTCTCTGCTTTAAGTCTACTTCAAGGCTTAAGTATTGATATGTATTTGTTTTCAGGGTCATCAAAATACTGATTTTGTGGCTATATTCTGTGGTTAATACCTTCAGGTTCAAAGCTTGACGCTTGAACATTTTTGCGTATCGTATGTATCGATACTTTGAACTATGGTCCAGTTCTCTTTCTGAAGATGCCTTGCCATCCACATCTTCCATGATTTCTCCACATCACCCTCTTGTCATTCTCCAGTTGTAGGAAAAGTGTCAAGGATTCCATAAAAGGAAGCCCCACTGCATAAAAAATAATATGTACTCGACTGATTTGTGTCTTAATACACAAGATTCTCTTAAAACTCAACAAAACTCTGAGAAAGGCCAACTTTGAGTTTTGACACATTCTATGTTGGTCAAGAACCATACAACAGGACCTACATGGACTTAGACACGGGAATTGGAATCTAACAGGGTGCCAGTTAATCAAATTTATTGAGCCAAAACAATCTTGAACCCACATTTTGTGCATCCAGTGGACCCAGTGTAGGGTTATCTATGCTGTATTTCTAACCCTTTAAAGAGAATCCAACAGAATGAGCACTTAATATAATTAGGCTGATCTCTTGTCTTGAGGGGCCTATAAATTGAATACTTGGATTGATTGATAAGAATGTCCAGAGCTCTCTGTCAAGGCTGGATGATGAAAAGTAGCTGATAGTAAAAAAAGACTATCTACAGCAGGCCCTGACTCTGTACCATGTAAAAAAAAAAAACAGAACATGAAAAAAGAGTAGCATATGTACTTGGACTATAAGAATGTGTGTATATATGTTTGTATTACATAATTGTAATTCTAAAGGACCCATTAGAACACTCTTTAGTGAATAGCTTTATTCATTTGGGCATCTATGTTTAGCATATGCATGGTGGTTCCAAGTAACGATACGTATCGGTTTTCAGGGTCACCAAAATTAGGACATGTGGCTATATTCATTGCTTAATACTCTTCCTGGAGATGGCGGTGTTCAATGCTTGACACCTGGAACAATTTTTTATCCACGAGTATTGTCCGATCCAATCACACAATATGCAATTCTTGGGTATTGCACATATCAATACTTTGTACCATCAGCATATCTACTTGGAATATAAGAATATGTACATTTCTGTATTACAATTATGTAATTCCAAAGGGCCCATTTCTAGACCCATTGAGACACTCTTTAGTGAACATCTCTCTTGTGTTTATTTAATCAGTCCAATTGCTTTTATATTCAATTGGGCATCTATTTTAGTGGCAAAGGCAAACTATTCATCTCCCATACTTGCTAACAAAAAGGCAGGCAACTGCACATTAACATGACACAAGATAAAGTTTTCTAAATTCCCAATTGTGAAGATGATTTTAATAGTGAGATAGATAAATAAACTGTATCTAGATGAATCGTTTCATTTTAGCTATTGATGACACTTGAGCCCACATGGCCTTTATCTAAAATGGAGTGGGTTTGGCTGTATAGATAAAAACATTGAAATGAGTCATTATTTCAATCCTTGAAATGACTCCATGTCCAGCTTTTCTTAGCAACCAGAGATGACTCCCTTTCATTTACTGAATTTCTGATCTCAAATGCAAAAGTAGTGAATTTCTAAGCCACCCATTTCACAGACCATCAGGATGATCATGATGATACTACAAGAATGGGAGAGTGGGCAGAGACCTACAGTGCAGAATGAGCAAGAAGAATCCCAAGAATGTTGTCCATGGCTGCAAACCCAGAAAAGGCCTGCCATGTATTGGCACGACTTTCCTTAAATTCCGATCTGAAATCATCCTGTTAAGAACATTGGTGTAATGGGGTTCTATTAAGTAAACTATATAATTTAGGAGAAACTGTATAAGCCTAAACGATCTAAAACCAAGCCCGTGAACAAATGAAGGTTCAATCTGGCAAAGTTGACAGTGAATTAGAGTATTTCATGTGTTTGATTTTGCTTTTGCAATCTGCAAAAGAGCCTCGCAGATATTGAGTCAGTCTTTTCACAATTGCCCATGGATTCGCTTACCTACACTACAGCAGTAGCAGCAGCAGTAGCAACTTGTCATGGCCGAAACAATAAAAAGAGCCATTGCTTCAGTTAAAGGTAAATCTGCCCCAAGTTCGTTTTCTGGCAAACAAACAAACAAACAAACATGACTCTGCATTGATCCAACCGCATAGTCATGAGAACATGTACTAATCTCTTCAGTGCTAATGCACATTTCGTACTTGTTAGGGCTTTCTTATAAGTCATAATCTACGCCACATATCAACAACTCAACTGTACTTGGAATTGCAATTCTTGACTCTTGAATCTTGGAGCTGTCCCGCTGGCCAACCTGCACTTTCCACGCTTCTTCCCCAATCACCCCGGGTTTGGGTTGTGATTTTTCAACCAAACACATCTTGACCTGACCAAGCACAACAAGACAACCCTTCCTAACTAGGAATGGTAACGGGAGGGTTCGGGGAAGGGATCATATTCTCTATCTCTAACCCCGATTTTCAAATTAATCCTCGTCCCTCACCCCAATTCTTACTAGGGATAAAAGTTATCCTCCATCCCTAAATTCCCGAAATTTGTTAGTTAACAGTATTTTCTAAAAACTAATTTTACTTAAAATAAAAAAAGAAAATATAAGTAATATTTTAAATATAT